TATATATATATATATATATATACAGAGAGCTTCCATTGAGGGATCCCTCAAATAATCTTATTTGAGGGACACTCCTTGTAGGGCCCACTCCGAATTGTATTTCACTAATCCAAACCGTCTATTTTGTAGATACACATTCAAAGATCATCTCTACAAAAAATCACTTGAATCCGATATCGTTTGACCATTCAATTGAGTTATTGAAATTTTAGTACTTTCTTGAAGCACCGTGTTCATTGATTTTGTATGACACAATTGGATGTCGAAACGGTTTCCGATTTGTCTAATTTTTTGTAAGGATAATCTATGAATGAAGACCTAAAAAATAAATGATTTGGATCATTGGAAAAAAAAACTGTATGGTACCCTAAAGGGTGTATTTGAGGGATCCCTAAAGAGTGTATGAAATGTTAATTGCAGGTTTTTCCACAGAAGAAAGTTATAATGGGTTATCCCTCCCGGCTGCTGGTTGTTGAGCAAATTACAACCCTTCATGCGACATGGGTGGTCTTCGATAGGTATACCATGCATTACAGTGAAAGATTTCGACTTTATTCAGTTATTTTGTTCTTCATATTTTGACAAGTGTGTCCAATAAGGACGGAGCCTAATTACTTCTGTTAAGATTTTCGTAGAAGGTGATTGGGTTAGGATTAATAAAAGTTAGGGTTTCCTTCGGACACACTTTTACCGAAAAGACTACTTTGTTATTTAGACAAATTTTCGTCCATAAAGAACCAATTGTAACACAAAATTCTTAATAGAAGTCAGGTTATGTCCTTACTAGGCATACATCTCAAAGTATGAGAATCCAAACGACTGATAAGATAGTTAATCAAAATGAAACTTTGGTCAGTATATACTATTCGTCAAATATGGGATCTCTCTGTACAGGCATCAAAAGAATGATAGAAAATTTTATGCCGGGAAGCTTCCATGTAACATGGTGATGATGAACGAAGAGGGGGAAGTTGATATGATAAAGGGACGGCCCATGATAGATAGTGACAGCGCCGTTGGAGAGTCACCGGCCTCTTTGCTACCTACTCCGATGATCTGTGACCACTTGAAGGGAATTCTTAAGAAACGATCACAAGATCTTCATCAAGACCCCGAGGATCAAGATCGGAAGGACGTGCCATGATCAACAAGGGAAGGAATGCAGAAACAAAGAAAGGATATTGGCAGAAGAGGAGAGGCTGAGGAGCTTATCTAGAGATGCAATAACTCCTTGGGGGAGTAACTTGGCCATGGGTTTTATTTGTTTTCACTTGAGTCAAGCTATCAAATTTATCACCCTTTGTTTGGCAAATGTGTATTCTCCCAAGATTTTCTGATGTAATAAGAATTTGCTCTCCATGCTTCTTGTTATAATATTTCATACATAATCTTCTGGACTTGAGCAATGCTGAGGTCTTATCCTAGCCTTTTAAGTTAGGGAGTTTCACTAAAACACCCAAAATGGAGATTGAAATTATAAAAAAACCCAAGCACTATTTAAACATAGAAACACACCCAAAATCAACCCCAAAGTCAACTTTTTGGGTGTGTTTATAAATAGGTTTTGAGTGTGTGTAATGATGGGTTTTTGGTGCCTAGACATGTATTTATAAAAAAATCCAAGCACTATTTAAACATAGAAACACACCCAAAATCAACCCCAAAGTCAACTTTTTGGGTGTGTTTATAAATAGGTTTTGAGTGTGTGTAATGATGGGTTTTTGGTGCCTAGACATGTATTTATAAAAAAATCCAAGCACTATTTAAACATAGAAACACACCCAAAATCAACCCCAAAGTCAACTTTTTGGGTGTGTTTATAAATAGGTTTTGAGTGTGTGTAATGATGGGTTTTTGGTGCCTAGACATGTATTTATAAAAAAATCCAAGCACTATTTAAACATAGAAACACACCCAAAATCAACCCCAAAGTCAACTTTTTGGGTGTGTTTATAAATAGGTTTTGAGTGTGTGTAATGATGGGTTTTTGGTGCCTAGACATGTATTTATAAAAAAATCCAAGCACTATTTAAACATAGAAACACACCCAAAATCAACCCCAAAGTCAACTTTTTGGGTGTGTTTATAAATAGGTTTTGAGTGTGTGTAATGATGGGTTTTTGGTGCCTAGACATGTATTTATAAAAAAATCCAAGCACTATTTAAACATAGAAACACACCCAAAATCAACCCCAAAGTCAACTTTTTGGGTGTGTTTATAAATAGGTTTTGAGTGTGTGTAATGATGGGTTTTTGGTGCCTAGACATGTATTTATAAAAAAATCCAAGCACTATTTAAACATATAAACACACCAAAAACCCATCATTACACACACTCAAAACCTATTTATAAACACACCCAAAAAGTTGACTTTGGGGTTGATTTTGGGTGTGTTTCTATGTTTAAATAGTGCTTGGATTTTTTTATAAATACATGTCTAGGATTGGGTTTATTTATAAATTTGTATTTAAGTTATTCTACAAAGACTAAAATCTCAATGAGAAGTAATTTTCATATCCATATTAATATGGACCATCAATATTGCATGTCCGTTTATGAACTGATGCAATTATAGCATTCGATCTGTTTCAATTGATACAGACTCGGATAGCATGCCTTTGGCTTTTTTACATTCGTTGTATTTATAATATAACCCATCTTCTTACCGCAGTCAAATTTATTTTTCATAATACTTATTGGTAAATAGAAGTGTTCCATAGAGTGAAACAGTGGGTGTTTTCAAGGCGCATAGCCACCGTGACCACCACCTTCACCGCCCCCAGCACCGCCTCCATAGCCGGCCCCACCACCATGTGCGCCTCCACCACCCGATCCACCTCCACCACCAGAGCCCCCCCCCCCCCCGCCACCAGCACCAGCACCACCGTAACCTCCACCAGCTCCACTACCGGCTCCTCCACCATTGCCATATCCACCTCCATGTGCTCCCCCAGCACCTTCTCCACCACCTCCACCGCCACCACTCCCACCACCTCCTCCTCCTCCATGGCCACCACCTGCTGCTCCTCCCCCAGCACCATACCCACTGCCAGCACCCCCTCCTTCACCACCACCTGCTCCAGAACCTATACCGCCACCACCTCCGCCGCCACTACCTCCACCACCACCACCGCCATATCCACCCCCATGTTCTCCACCAGCACCATACCCTGCACCTCCTCCTTCACCCGTCCCACTTCCGTACCCTGCACCCCCAGCAGCCGCAGCACCGCCACCACCGCTACCTCCACCTCCGCCCCCGCCATGTCCTCCACCAGCAGTGCCATATCCAGCACCACCGCCTTCTCCACTACCACCACCATACCCTCCTATAGCAACATTAATCTTGCCTCCTAATAATTCTTTACTAGTGAAGAGGGCTCTAGTGGCAGAACAAATGCCTAAACTTAATATCACAAAGAAAATAACGCTACCAATCTTTTGGGGAGCCATGGGAGTAGTTCTAGCTACTTGAGTCCCGCAAGCTTATGTGTAGAATGCAAGAGAAAGTGGGTATATATAGAAATTTTTTGTGGTAGGTTTCCAAAACATCGTCCACTAAGAGAGAGCGTGGATGTTGAAAGGACATGCAAACTAAGGATAATTGTGGGCACCGACACATTCTCCAAAAGCACCCACTCTGTCTACTAATCTCACTCTTATACTAGTGTGTTCATGCTGTCTTCCACATATGATAATAATTTACTTCTGGAAAGCGGCATGCTGCAAACTCGATCTCTTTCACATTAGACAAAAGAACGTGAAATGTTAATTTTATTTTCCTGTGTAATTACTAGTGTTTTGAGTATAATATTCTTCAATCATTTGCAATATAATATTTCCTTATTTTCCACATGATGCCTGCATTGTCATCAGCTTCTCTATTAGTGCAGTTAGTTTGGTAAGATCCATTATCATTTTTATAGTTTTCAGTTTTGTTTATGATAATTGGCCACAAAAAGGTTCGTTAATGATAAAAACATGCAGGTACATATTTATCATTATTTATTTGCTTCTCAGACTATTGGATTATAGTTAGGGATGAGTCCAGATTCATCCTCATCCATCTTGATTTTTCTAGGTGGGAAATGATAATGCATGACATTTTCACCTCCACATTCTCACACGCCTCAGCACGTGTGGCGACATTTAAAACCTAACATGTGAACAACGCATATTAGGTGACGTGGACTGTAACATCCAGACCCAAATTAATTATTATTTAATAAAATTATGAAATTACAACTTTTGCCCTTGGGGTAGGGTCATATTAGTCACTTTTCGATCTGTAAGGATTTTTGGGATTTAAGTGGCACCATTGCATTGAGCTCATCGATACGAGTTTGTAGGCACGTAGTGGGCTCAAATAAGAGTTTAACGAAGAAGTTACGATCAACGGAAGTGCAATGGCATAATCGTAATTTTTTCAAAGTCAGATTTTTAAAAACCAGGTCAGCCTTCTCTCTCTCTCTCGTCGTCACAGTAGCCGGATTTTTCGACTTCGATTTCAGCGCTGTCCGGCCACCATCGGATGCCACAACCTCCAAAATCTTCCCCCTCCTTCTCTACACAACCCACTCAATTTCCAGACCCGACTTCTAACCGTGAAGAGACTAGAACGAGGGGAAAAATCCCGATTTTTCTAACTATGGCAGGGCATTTTCGGCAACCAAAATTGTCAAACCAGGTATGGTTTCTCATCCTCTTAATGTGTTCTAGCTGTTTTGATGGTTGGTTTTGATCGATTTGATGCCGTAATAGTTTGACTAGGAACCCAGTTTTTCCTGACTTTGGCTGTGTTTTTCAGCCACTTCCCTGCCAAATTGGGGGTCGGCCCAGTTGAATTAGTTGCTCTACTAGTTGTCCCGATCATGTAAGTATATGAATTAATTTCTCAAGCCACCCACGTTCTGCCGGCTCGTGAGCCTTGGTGTGGAGGCCCATTGTGTACTAAAATTTTCCCCATGTCGTCCCGAGCAAGATGGTATGCTCGGATTTGAATTTGGTCATCGTTTCGCAGTCGAACGGATTTACGCATATTAGGCAATATCTGGGTTCGATATGTTTGGACTGTTGGATCGGCTTCATTTCCAAGTATGTTGTTTTCTATACCTCTAGGATTGTGTAGGAACTCACGAATTGAGAATCAGTGTCTTGGATACTCCGAATCAATGATTCAAAGGTTACATAAACCGGTGATCGTGCGATCGAGAGCGATCTGACCGCTCGATTGAGACCAAACTTGCAGAACGGGTTTAGTAGACTTGGTTGAACCCATAGGAACTTTCAGATTGGAAATCAGAGGTTGTGGGCCCCTTCGGCCCGGTTGACCAATATGGAAAGTTTGACCGTTCGGTTGACCGTGAGTCTTCCGAAGTCATCTCATCATTCAAAAAGTATTAGATTGACCTTAAGAACTCCCCGAAAGTCATGCTTACACTTTTGAGCCCCAGGAAATAGAGTTTTGATTTTTAAAGTTCGGAGTTGGGTTCGGTTTCCAAGTTCAGGCACAATGAATCGCTCTAGACGAAAACACAGAGAGTTAATTGTGCTTTGGACAGTGTGTGAGTGGACATTTGTTTTATAAATGATTTTCCTGTTATGATGGTTTTATGAAATGTTTTATGAATGAATTGTTTATGGTTACTTTCTGAGCATTCGGTTTTGGTTGAAAATGATTTTATATATGGTTTAATTGTAGTTTAGTATTTGAGATTGATATTAAATGTTTAGAAATGATTCAATTGTGTTTTTGTGTTTCAGATTCAGTTTGAGAATGATTTGGAAAGAATTAAAAATGGTTTGAATCAAGATAGTGAATTTTGGGATTATTAGATTGTCGTTATTTGCAGGTGTTAATTTGGGAAAAGTCCATTTTATAGGAGAGACTCTGCCAAAATTTTGGTAGAAGTTTTGATCCATTTTTTCTTAAAGTACCGGTGAGAGGTGTAAAGTTAGTAGTGGGTCCAGCATCGTTCTGGTGCCGGAATATGTAATAATAGGATTCGACACGAGTTTCGAGGGGAAATTCAGGTCGGGTCATGTCATGGAGTGTTGGATTTCATGTAGAGATTAAAGAAGAGGATAACAAGGAATTGGAACTCCTAACTAAGCTTTCAAACCCTAACACTAACCTTAATCCAACATGGTGACAATAGAGGATCTTCGAGTGATGCAATAAACCATATATTTACTTGATTTTCTTCCACAACATCTTTGATGTAGTGAAATTTTAGGGCAATGTGTTTAGCTCTGTTGTGATAAACAGGATTCTTGCTCATAGCAATAACAGATATGTTGTCATAAGGAATCATAGTAGCCCATTCTTGTTTCTCCCCGAAATCCACTATAATTCTATACTGCTTGAGAGTTGCAATTGAAGCCGATATCATACTTAGCTTCTGATAGTGCAACTGATTTTAGCTTGTTAGAGGTCCAAGAAAATGCACCAATTCCTAGTGCAAATGTATGACCAGATGTGCTCTTCAAGTCATCCACACTTCTTCCCCAATAACTATCACAGAACCCTACCAATTTTGGCTCAACATTCCTTTCATACATTATACCAAAGTCAAGTGTATCTTGAATGTATCTTAGGATGCTTTTTGGAGCTCCATAGTGGATACGAGCTGGCTTGTGCATAAATCTGGACAACAAGCTTGTAGCATACATTATATCTGGCCTAGTTGCTGTCAAATATAGGGATGGCAATGGGATGGTTCAGGGCCGGGTATGGCAATACAAAAGTCTATTAATATTTTCTTATTATTTTTTTATCTAATAACATGTCATTCCATTATATGGCATGCTTACTAATCAGGAATCGGGTTAAGCAAGAATTGGGTTAAACATGAATCAAAGTCATGCATTCTAATTAAGTTGTTTACTAACTGTTACAAATGGGAATGAAAAAAAAAAATATATATTTCCATTAAAATCGTTTACTATTGTCAAGAATCGGAATCAAAACTAATTTCATTACCAAAATGCCCTTGTTCTAATTTTTCAAATGAATTTTTTTAAAACTTATAAATAAACCCAATCCTAGACATGCATTTATAAAAAAACCCAAGCACTATTTAAACATAGAAACACACCCAAAATCAACTCCAAAGTCAACTTTTTGGGTGTGTTTATAAACGGGTTTTGAGTGTGTGTAATGATGGGTTTTGGGTGTGTTTATATGTTTAAATAGTGCTTGGGTTTTTTTATAATTTCAACCCCTATTTTGGGTGTTTTAGTGAAACTCCCTTAATAATAATGAATTTAATTTAAGAGTTGTAAAAGATAATCAAATTTATAGGTTTAATTATTTACATTCTATTAAAAAAAGAAGGGAGTTTCACTAAAACACCCAAAATGGGGGCTGAAATTATAAAAAAACCTAACACCCAAAACACTTTATAAACACACCCAAAACCCATCATTACACACTAAAACACCCAAAATGGGGGCTGAAATTATAAAAAAACCTAACACCCAAAACACTTTATAAACACACCCAAAAAATATACAATTGTTGATTTTGGGGTTGATTTTGGGTGTGTTTCTATGTTTAAATAGTGTTTGGGTTTTTTTATAAATACATGTCTAGGATTGAGTTTATTTATAAATTTGTAAAAAAAGAAAAAATGGGAGATCTGAAGAAGAATATGGACCCAGTCAGAGAGAGAGAGAGAGAGAGAGAGAGAGAGAGAGAGAATCTTAAAACTAAAACACCTCTCTGCCACATTTCACCAGAGTGCATATGGTGATAAGTTGATAACTACCTTTTGCTTGATTCTATATGAACTGCTGCAGGATCCTTTTTATTAATAATTTCATACGAGACAAGAATGACATCTTTCAGCGGCCTGGGAGTTTCTTCAACCTTCCCAGCAAGAAACATACACATTGTTGCAATGGTCTGCAGAACAGTTTAATAGAATTTAGTCAATAAAATAAATACAAATTTATAAATAAATTCAATCCTAGACATGTATTTATAAAAAAACTCAAACACTATTTAAACATAGAAACACACCCAAAATCAACCCCAAAATCAACAATTGTATATTTTTTGGGTGTGTTTATAAATGGGTTTTGAGTGTGTGTAGTGATGGGTTTTGGGTGTGTTTATAAAGTGTTTTGGGTGTTGGTTTTTTTTTATAATTTCAGCCCCTATTTTGGGTGTTTTAGTAAAACTCCCTAAAATAAAACATCTTCTCTTTTTCTTTGATACGAATCATTTTCCCAATTAATTTCACCTTAATCGTTTGTGGGATAGAAAACTTAACAATTCTACAAATGAAAGTTCAACAATACAAAAATAGTGAAGCAGCAACACACTGAGGGTTCACCCAACATTACAATTGCATAAAAGTAATATAACCTTTAAAACACTACAATCGCGACAAAGAAGCAAATCGTTATTAGGGTTCATATAGGGTTTTGACGAACTAGAACGAGATCAAATAGGGTTGGCTGGTCATTGCGCTCGGCGCCGATCTTGAACACAGCAAGATAGTGATCGTAATCGCTCTTCATCTTGAGCTAGAAGACCTTGGAGTTGCCGGTGAAGGCCGAAGGGATGACCCGCGAGTCAAGTAGCTTGAGAATTCCATTGTAGGTGAAGGACGTGGTCGTCATTGCTGTGGGGAGAGGGAGAGAGAGGGAGAGAGAGAGAGATCTAATATGATCAAAAAGGGAAAGCAATGAATCTTTTAAACAAAAGGGGTATAATTGTCTTTTTAGTGATTAATATAAGATGGGCCAATGAATTTAGGCCTCCTCTTTGGCCAAATCTAAAACAAAATTTCATTCCTAGGTATTAAAACCCAAATAGAAATATTGTTTGTCTCAAATACTAATTAGTAAAGATAGTTATGTTTAATACATGATTTCTCGTTGTCATCCAAATGCACTCGTTGCGGAATTTATAACGATAACAATTAGTATTGGTAACATTCGTAAATATTATTATGAAGAAGAAGAATTCATATTAATTAATTATCAACATATACAACTTTTGGGATTCATAATATACTCAAAATTATATTAATCCTCTTGTACCCACATTTATCTTCTTTTTTTTTTTTTTTTTTTTTTTTGCCAAAAGTCATTTTTGGTCTCTATAGTTTGACACTTCAATCACTTTTGACCATCTAGTTTCAATTTAGTTAATTTTTCCATTGTAGTTTCATATTTATTACAATTTAAGGACAATCATAATTTCTGTCAAATTATTCTTAACTTATGTTATCTATTCAGGGGTATTTTGGTCCAAACTTGCATCCCCTCCCCAACAAGCCAACACTCAAGAACAGTACCACCCAACCCTAGCTAGCCACCATACCCCTGTAACTAACTGCCATCATAGCCTCCCAAGGCCGCCCTAACCCCATGATATCATGGACTCATGGATCTATCTATATTTAACAATTTGTGCAAGAAAAGTAGTGAATGTTAAAATAAATAAATAAAGTAACAAGAACACAATCAACAATTGAACAAGAACATAAGGAACCCAAAACATAATTGGGCTAAAATTAGAGGGGCAACGGGTCTCCACAACCCCCACTTCCAATCTCTCCTCAATTTGCCTTCTCTCTCCCAACTCGATATCGTATGTATTGCTTGGAGACGTCAATCGGTCTTAGGGCAACTATTGGAACATAGCTCTCGGCTTTTTAGCTTATGCCTTGTGCATTTGTTGGGGCTGGGGCAGCCCTGGGAGGCTGTGTGGGCGTTCAATTACAAGGTGTGATGGCTAGCTGGGGTTGGGTAAAGACTGCTCGTGACTGTTGGCGGGTTGGGGGAGGGGATGCAAGTTTGGACCAAAATACCCCTAAATAGATAACAAAAGTTAGAATAATTTGATGGAAATTAGAATGGTCCTTAAATTGCTACAATTATGAAACTACAACGACAAAATTGACGAATTGAAACTACAAGGTCAAAAGTGGTTGAAGTGCTAAACTACAGGGATCAAAAGTGACTTTTGACCGAGTTTTTTTCCCCTTATTAATACTAATAATAATTTAATATAGGTAAGAAGAGGTGAAGCTTTTGGTGACAAAGAAGTAGTAAAGGTAATTTCAAGGAGCATAATCACCGCTCTCATCACCACCTCGTCCCCAATATGCAGCTCTATAAGCTCCTCCATAGCCGCTGCCACCACTGAAAACTCCTCCGCTTGCACCACCTACATAGCCACCACTTGCTCTTCCAGCAGCATAACTTCCAACCGCACCACCACCATGTTCACCACCTCCTCTGACTGCACCACCATGTCTGCTGCCTCCTCCGACTACACCACCGTGTTCGCCGCCTCCAATGGCACCAGCACCATGTTTGCCATCGGCGCCACCACCATGTTTGTCACCTCCAATGGTACCAGCACCATGTTTTCCACTACCACCATGTCCGCCTCCTCCTCTAGCACCACCACCATGTCCGCCGCCTCTTCCATAGCCTTCGCCATGTTTGCCACCAGCACCATGGCCACCGCCTTCACCACCACCTTGTCCTCCATATACACCTCTATGAGCTCCTTCATAGCTGCTGCCACCATTGGAACCTCCTCCTCCCCCTGCACCACCTGCATAGCCACCACTAGCTTCACCTCTAACTCCTCCACCACTTGCTCCTCCAGCAGCATAACCTCCTTCGGCATTACCACCATGTCCGCCACCTCCTCCATAGCCTTGGCCATGTTTTCCACCAGCACCATGTTTGCCATCAGCACCAGCACCTTGTTTGCCACCTCCAATGACACCAGCACCATGTTTGGCATCAGCACCAGCACCATGTTTACCATAGGCACTAGCACCATGTTTGCCACCTCCAATGGAACCAGCACCATGTTTGCCACCAGCACCATGTTTGCCATCAGCACCACTACCAGCATCATGTCCGCTGCCTCCTCCTGTACCACCTGTATAACTACCACTAGCTCCACCTCCAGCTTCTCCACCACTTGCTCCTCCAGTAGTATAACTTCCTTCGGCACCATCACCATGTTCGTGGCCTCCTCTATAGCCTTCGCCATGTTTTTCACTAGTACCATGTTTGCCATCGGCACCACCATTATGTTTGCTGCCTCCAATAGCACTAGTACTATGTTTGCCACCAGCACCATGTTTTCCACTAGCATCATGTTTGGCATTGGCACTATCACCATGTTCGTTACCTCCAATGGCACTAGCACCATGTTTTCCACCAACACCATGTTTGCTGTCTCCTCCGACACCACCATCTTCACCGCCTCCTATTACACCACTTGCATAGCCACCATTAGCTCCACCTCCAGCTCCTCTACCACTTGTTCTTCCAGTAGCTCCACCACTTGCTCCTCCAGTAGTATAACCTCCTCCGGCACCACCACCGTGTCCACCGCCTCCTCCGTAACTTTCATTATGTTTTCCACTGGCACCACCACCTTGTTTATCACCTTTAATGGCACCAGCATCATGTTTGCCACCAACACTATGTTCGCTGCCTCCTCCAGCACCACCTTCTCCTACACCACCTGTATAGCCACCACTAGCTCCACTTCCAGCTCTTCCACCACTTGCTGCTCCAGCAGCATAGCCTCCTTCGGCACCAGCACCATGTCCGCCGCCTCCTCCGGCACCAACACCATGTCCGCCGCCTCCTTTATAACCTTTGTCATGTTTGCCACCAACACCATGACTGCCATCGGCACCACTACCTTCTTCACCTCTGTAACCACTGCCATGCTTTCCAGCATATCCAGAGCCACCGCCACTGCCAGTACCCCGACTATCGCCGCTCGCTCCATATCCAGCGCCCCCACCACCATCAGCACCACCATTACCGCCAACGCCACCACCAATACCTCCATAAGCAACACTGCTGCCACCACCACCATGTCCACCAACACCTCCATAGGCAACGCCACCGCCTTTTCCACCACCACTACCACCTCCATAGCTAGGAGCACCATGTTCTCCTATCGCTCCATAATCCCCACCACTTCCTGCACCTCCTACGCCACCATATCCCCAAACACCACCATAACTTGCAGCACCACCAAATCTATACTCCGATCCACCACCACCGACGACATGGCCTGCACCATAGCTGACAGCAGGAGCATGGGCAGGCTCTCTATAATGTAGGATTGTTCTGGCTGAACATATCCCTATACCTAATAACATAAAGAAGACAAAACTATGAGTGTTTTGAGTAGTCATTGAAATAATGTAGTTGAATCCACAACAATGAAGTAGAATGCAAGATAGGTGAAGGTATATATAGGAGCAGGAAAGGGTGGTTGAAGCACATACAGAAGAGAATTTGAGGTGTTTCAAAAAAAGTGGCTAAATGCTAGAACAAATCATATATAGAAATAGAGGAGAGCTTGTGTTTGGTAGTCTTGCTGCTACGTGTTGGTTTCAGGCTATTTTTAGGGTTCTTTCAAATTATTAGTGGGTACGAATTTAGGTGAAATAATTAATAGATAATAAGAAGCTGCATGCTAATTTAATTTTTAAATAATTACCGTCATCTATAATCCGAATCATTGACTTAATTAGCATTATATGTATATATGTGGAGTGGGTTAAATTAAGTATAATCTTAATTAGCAGTTGATTAATTATTATGTATAGTCATGTTTAAGAATGAGAGTGCCATAATGCCAACTTCACAAGTGCTTGTTATGATCGTTTCTCCTCCTCTCCTCACATATATTGGGCTTTTGGTTTACAAAATTCTTTAGATGTAACGTTCAATTTTAGCAATCCAAAGAATGACACAAAAAAAAAAAAAAAACTCAACAGCTTGCATTCTATTGTTGTGGGCACTATCAGGCAACATAGTAGGAGTGGACTATGCATTCTAGGTTTGACGTTGAGCCTAGTGCCTGTTGTGGTTCCTTTAATTCGTTCACCAAATAATGTGTCGGTGTATGTCAACTATTTACTCGTTTGTTTAGTGACAATTATTTACCTTATTATTATGTATCCAAGAGTGTTGCTATTTCCACCCACCTATCTTATTTTCCCACCCACCTTATTTTCAACATTTTAAAGACAAATTTACCTATTTGTAAAATGACTTCTAAGGACAAAAACCTCAACCCATGACAAACTTTCTCCATCGACGACCATGGAGGGATATACCCAGATGTAGTGTCGACTCCCAATGCAACAACACCAACGCCTACTGCGTAGGTGACAGTGATCCTTAGAAAGGCTTGAAACATCTTTCTGTCACTTAGTAGGTGCCTGCCCAATCCAATCTAAGAAGTAAAATACCTACCTACACCCCCACACACCACCAAAGAAAAATGAATAAAGAAGTAAATGAATCGGGTAAGTTAATTCACACCATATACACTGAACAAAAGAGGAAACATACAATACAATTCGTATTATTGATAACAGTAAATTGAATGTGCATTGAAAAGCAAACCTGCATAAAGAAGAAGAGGCCCATCGCAACCATATGCTCGCCAGACTGCACATGCTGAAATTCGATAAAGCGAAGTTGCAGAGCGAGCAACATTCTGAAAATGTAAATGCAATTGTAGGCGACATACAACCTCATGGAATCGCGTTCGGTGATCAAAAGCACCAAAACGTAAAGCAAAATCAAGCTAATTATAAAGACAACCTCCCCAACCAGAGACCATTCCAGCATGGGTTATGGGTTAATAATCTGATTTGATCGCTTG